CCCCCCCCCTCCTCCCGTCGAAGTATTTAAGGACGCTGCGCTTATCCACTTAATTAATAATCTGATAAATTCCCCCGCGCTACGTCATGTTCCGGGAGTAAGAAAGGAGAGCGGAGAAGAGCAGAGGGGGGAGGATATTACACGTGTGTGTGTATAGATACACTTTATATTAACGTTTCGTAACAGGTATTCGAAAATTATCGACTTCGATGTTGGCTGGCCGTTTCAGTCGCCGGCACTCGCTTTGATCTTTGATCAAGTCGCAAAAGGGTATTTTTTCCTCGCTCGTATATCAGCATTAATTTAATCCGTACTCATGTTAATACAATTAATTTCAAATACGGCCCTTCATGCGGATGTAAAGGCTCCTTCCATTTATCGTTTTGCAGGTAATGTTCGGCGGATATTGTTCGGTTCACAAGCGACTCTTGATTAATTAATTGAGTAATTATTCGATCAAAATTATACAGATCGAATAATATCGATGTCCGAAATACGGCGACTAAGCTAATAATAATAATAATGGTAGATTTAATATGTAAATTGTCGAGGTATTAGGCAAACCAAAATCCATCGGTGTAACAATCGGCGCACGCGAGAACGAGAAGTTAAATGGATTAATAAATCAAAATGCAATCTGTATGGGAAACATTATGATTGCGAATTATTTACTTTCCGAAATGCATCTATCCGTCCCGCTCCGTCCGTCTGTCCGTCCGGGCGCATCTATTTTCTCAGCCGCATGGAATTCGCTCGCTTCACGGGAAAAACGTTCAGAGAACTCTAAAATCATTTAACGCGCACGCGTCGAATCCGAGCGTTCTGGGAAAACGAACCTTCCCCAGAAATTATTTTCTTATGGTTTCCGTTATTAACACACCACCTTTAGAACCGCACTCCGCGCTATTTCAGTTCCGTTGTGTGTGTGAAATTATGATGTATAAATAAACGCGAATGTCCAAACGTTGCCTTCTAATCTTAAATACTGTTCGCGTTGAAGCTGTTAATAAGTGAAAACGCGGTATCGACGGGACACCGTTATCCATCGTTGCATTTCCATAATTAACGAGTGAAGACCCTCGCGCATGTTGATCGACCGGTAATTTATAGTGACTGACAAGCAACCGCGCACTGTACCTATCGCTTAATGCACCTAACGCGCCTAACATACAGCAGCAGCCTGCGCGTGACAGATCCATGGCTCCCCCCCGATAATACCGCGGTTAAGAATCGATAATTATCTGTTGCCAAATCCGGAGCGAATTCGAGGGGATAACCGCACATCGTGTGTATTTTTCAATGCTGGCGAATGGGCGAACGAGCCGGCGACTCCGTTTCTGTGTTCGTTTCGACTATCGTGTTACGATCTCGACTATAATTGGAATCCGAGAGACGGATAGGAAGCGCGAAAGAGAATACATATCAGAGAGAGAGAGAGAGAAAGAGAGAGATTAATTTGCAATGTAATTTGACTACTGACTCCGCGGCAACCTGCCGCTGCGCTCATTGCTATCACGGCGATTAAAAAAGATACATTGTGTATGTGTGTGTGTGTTGGTGAGCGTTTTTCCTCTCTCATATGTGAATGTTAAATTTCTCATCGGATTAGCGTTTATTTTTATTTGATCGTTACTCGAGAAGAATAAATCCGAAATAACATAAATTTCGCGTTTCCTGCGGTTCTTAATACGCAAATATTATCCCGGGCTTGATTTGCGCATCGAGCGCCACCGATGATAATTGAGCGTTTTGAAAGAATGCGGCTAATATTTGTCCATATCGGCGAATGCGTGCAATATACTGAGAAAAAGTTATCTACGAATTTAATAAATTTTATCGCATCCAAACAAATTTCATATCATCGGCATGCTCCAAAGAAACTAATGTTTCGATTAATAAGTACGACTATTAGACTTTTCAACGAATATGTACTTTTATCTCGAATAAAAAATTTGAAACGAAAGATAATTTTCTTATAAAGAAATTATTCGTTTCATTTTACATATTTATTGTAGCGAAATAATATTTTACTCGGTTAAAAGATATTATTTCAAATAATAGCGTTCTTCCTGATAAATAATAGAGTTTTCTCGAATGAGACGGTAAAATTTTTATTCAAACAAATAATATTTCGTATATGTTGTTTCTGTGAAACAAATTTTCATCGAATTAATAAAAATACTGAATCTAAAGAAACTTTTTTTCTCTGTGTGTACACACAATGCCGTAAACGCGAAATATATGGCCGCTTTCTTTCTCACGAAATACCGCGTATCGTGATGGACATTCGAGTGCGACGAGATGAAGAGCAGGTCACGGTTGGTTTTCAATTCGAGCGTCAGATCAATCACGGTGGCACAATAAGCGCGGAATAATGACGTCACGGTTCCCGAACTCGATCCAGTCCCGTCCGATCGTAGAGAGCGTGAGGTCTTAGAGCACAATCGTTCTCCCTCTATCGCTCATTCGCTCCTCTTTTTTTCACCGTTTTTATGTTAATTCCGACTCGTCGTCGTGCCGTCGAAACGCGGCCATGCGCGCGCGCGCACTTGCGTTTTATTCGCGATTTTTAAAGTGTGGCGAATTTATCGAAGCTTTAATCAAATTGTCATGTTTTCCACTGGCATTCTTCACGTTTTCGCTGGAAATATCGTCATTTAAACATATCGCATGTCGAGCGTAAACCGTCGATTTTTTCACGGAATTCATTTAGTTTCGACGAACGTCAAGAGAAAAACCGCTCTCGGGGGAAACGTTCTAATAAGGTAGCAAAAGAAAAATATTTCATTTTTACATAAGAAGAAGTGGAACGGGG